ATAAATAGAGCTATCAAAACCAGTAATAGTCCTAATGAACTGTCTGGAAATCTTGATAAAATTGGTCCATATGATTTCCTTTGCTCGTATTCCCACGGTGGATTGCTTACAGTGTAACAGAGGGCAGAATTTGACCAGCAAAGCCTATGTAGTTGTTTGGGTATCACTATATTTTTGCAAGTAACATGAACAAGTTCTTACAACAACCTTCAACTGGATTAGGTTGCATGGTGCATTGACAATGAGATGGAAGCAAACGTAACAGAGGATCTGAATTCTAAAATCACTGGGCATATGACCCCAAAAAGAAGGGCATATCTTATCTATCAACTGTCTGTGCCTCCGCCAAACAACCCAAGAAGTCTCACCTAAGCGGTGCTTTGCTCATGCATTCATGCACACATGCATTCATTATGACTGACCTGCCCTAGGAAGGTCCATTAAGTGGAACTCATTTCAAGCACAGATGGTCGTGAATAGCTTAATGTCTGCCTGGTGGCCAGAATAAGTGATTTCTTGATGGCCTTAGACTTCTGATCACATACATGCAGCCAAGGAGGAAATGAAAACATGTTTATCATTTTGATAAACAAACTCTCTCATTGCTGCAGGATGCTCCATGTAACTCAGCAGAGTCAAATACTATTAAATTGTCATCACTGTCAAAGAGAGAACGTATAAGTTTTGCTACCTGAGTCATAGTTAATGACTTCCTCAATGTATAACACAAATCAGTACTGCTGTTTGCCTTTTTTATGTTTGTTTACTGATAAGTTCAGGCTTGGTTAGAATACAGAGGCGAGTTATAATTTTGAAGTGCAAAATATGCTTTTATTATTACCTCTCAGCTAGAGACATAAAAAACAGAGATGACTAGAAGATGGCTTTTTGGCTTCTGCCAGGCATGCACTCAGACCCTATAGATGATTAGATATTTTAAATCACAGCCACCCACAGTAGGCTCATACTCATGATAAAATATTTCACTCTGCAGTGTGTAAACTCAAGGTGGCTTTATAAGAGACAAAAATGAACGTGATTTCAGGAGTGTAGTGCCCTCTAATTAGAATTAAACCATTTGCAGGAGTAACAGGCAGTTGTCCCTGTTTTACAGGAAGAATGATATATAATTTCTACAGTTTTGTATTTTGAGCCTATGCAGAACAAATACTTCCGAAAGGCTAGGAAATATGAGCAGAGTCGTAATACCACAGATAGTTGCCATCTTCAACAGCCCAGCATCCTTCCTGGCAGCCAGTTCTGTCCCTCTTGCTTTGGTAGGCTTCACATTTCCTTCATGCAAAGTTCAGGGCATCCTGTGAACTGAGCGCTCAGAAAGGGTCAGCTGTTCTTACCATCAAGTCCTGCTAATGTTTGGTGTGAAGAGGATATAAGTCATGTTAGGACATTTTCATTCACCTCTGAAGCTTCTTGACGAAAGAGCAAAGCTATTCCTGATTTGCAAGTTCCTGTTTAATTTCTAAGCTTTTTTCTTATTTTCTTGGGGCAGGAGGGAATTAAAAAAACATAAGTTATTTTTCTTACCAGGTGGATAAAGCAGCCACTTCATGAAATGTAACTGTCAACAAAACATTCAGAAGACGCTTACTTAGAGGATTTTAGGGCCCTTCTGTCTCCTTTAAAGATCAATGGCAAATACCCTGTTGACTTGAATGAGTTGGATGAGGCTGTTATTATGGAAACAAAGCCAGAAGCTACCTTAGCTCAATAGACCATAAACTTCCAAAAAAAGACATTTCTGTTCTTTGTGACAAGGATTTAAACTTTTGCTGCACTCACAGCCTAGCAGGTCAATAATTCACATTTTTTCAGGACTCCCAGCACTGTAACATCTCACCAGGTCTTCCCATAACCTAGAAGAACCACTGAAAAAAAATCACTGGTTCAGGAGCAGAAGTCCTCAGATGGTATTACAGCATTTCTTGGTGCAGTCCCCACCCCACTGAAAACTGCTGTATCGGTTTCTGCGGTGCTGAACCCCCCCCCTCCCCCCAAAAAAAAAAAAGACAGAAAGAAAAAATAAAAATCACAGATTAAAAAGGTACTTCACATATACATCTGAACATGTTAACATTTTTTCAGTGGAAACTGAAGATTGATTCATGTTCCGCTCCCCGCTCTAACTTGTTTCCTCATTTGTACAGCTAAAATAGAGATTTAAGTTGAACATGTCTGTATCCCCCAGTATATTTGTGATATATATATTTCTGTGACTAACGTAATCAAGAGTGTGCTTTTTCAATGAGGTTTTTTCCTAGTCTCACTGTGTCCATTTGTATTTGTCTGGGTACCTCTATCTATTCCCGGTTTGTATACGGCTTTTAAAAGGTCTAACATGTATATGCACGGCTGCTAAAATATATACCAGCAAAACACATTGCATGCAATGCTATCCAGCAGTCATTCATAGGCTAACTGTGCTTTAATGGAAAACTCTGATCCCACATAACAAATTTTGCAGGAAAACCGGGTGTGTAACATGCATAACTTTCTCCATGTGAGATGGATTTTTTCTTCTGTATCAGCACCGGGGAGGGTCTTTTTATTACTGTTGTTAGTATTATTATTATTATTTGCATTACAGATATAGTCCATGCAGATAAAAGTTCCAATTAATGTACTTAACTGTCTAGTGGTAAAACAAGTGTTTTTTCATTGCTTTTATAGTTTCATTATGTTTTGCTACTCCTAAACAACTATACACTTTGAGTTAATTTCTTTATTGCTGCAACAACTTGCGCTTCCACATAACGATTAAAGGCATTATAAAGCTCATCCACCACAACCCATTATTTTGAATAGATAACCAAATAAGCAAGACTAGCTCATGTGGTTATTAGTACTCATACAGCAAATTAATAGAGAAAATTAAGCATTTAGCTTATTCACAGATATTTACCACACAGTCTATGTAGTCTAAAATTAGAAATGCTTATTACTGCATACATTATCTTTATTGTTGAGGTTGCGATCAATAAAATCACAAATCTTTCTTCTCTTAAGGCATGACCATAAGATGAATTAACCAATGAGAATCTTTTCATTGCTTTCAATATGATTTGGATGGGGGAACAGGGAATTTATCTGAAGAATTACTTCATAGAAAAATACAAGCATTTGGGGCTGAGTTGATCGTCACAATTCCTCTTACTCCTAAGAGACACTTAAAAGACCATTTGTCAGATGATGGCTTTCTGAATTGTTGGGATCTCTCTTCTGTGACACCTATTGGCTTTCAAAAAGCTTGTGTCAGCATGCCAAATGCACCTAATAACTAATACATGAAGCAGCATTTCTCTCCAGATGAGTTAAATATTTACTGCAGTTAGTCTTGTCTCATGCTTGCAAACTCATCAGTGCTTAACCCCATCACCATGCAACCTAAGCTCATTTACCCTAATGGACATTCACAGGCTTTCATCCACTGGCTCACCCTGGACAGTCAGTGGTTTGAAAATTTAATATTATAAAACATTTCCACACTTTCTGGAGTCCCTGTTCATTGGTAGTTGTTGCACTACTTAATGATGCGGGTGCACCTTATGGCACACCACCATATGACCTTAACAGCACAGAGTGAAGGGAGACTCCTCCCTGCCCATCTACCCTAGTGCTTCACTACAGAAATACCACATTTGTAGAATTACCAGGCAGCTGGACTCACTCCTGCGCAGGGAGATGCCGCTGGACTCCCAGATCTTTTCCAAAATCCCTTGTTCACAGCCAGACGTGGATCAGCATCTCCACACTGCTTATTCTCCTACCTGGCTGCAGGGTTACTATAGCGTTCAAAAGCTCCCAAAGTTGTTTCAAAAAGAAGAGTGAAAGCCAAAGATAGGAATAATGCTTTTTACGCTATAGTAAAAGCATGTACAGTTAGCATTTCATAGTGGCATGAAGTAATAATGCTTTTCTAGCAAACCTAGCAAATCTTCTTACACATCCTGCTCTTTAGTAGGCTGTGCATGATGTTTTGTGCTAAGTTTAAACAAATCCTGCCAAATTTATGCCACAATTTCATGAAGTAGCCAAATATCTGTGGGGAGCAGACTGGCACTGTTAAATACTTGGTGATTATGAGCTAAAACAATCTGAACTGAGGAACCAAGAAATTACTTGGGCAGCGCATTAGCCCACTGTGGTGACTCATCTCCTTGCACTGTACTACTGAGGTGAATGGGAATAATACACTTGACGCTCCATTTCTGTGCGTAGCATATGCCACAACCACCAAGAATTCATAAACCTTAAGCCACCATCTATCTGTCTATCACTCCTTTGTGTTCTCTACCTAATCAAACTATTGCAAATGTTCATAAAGATCAATTAGGGAGAAGACAAATTAAGCCTGGTGATCTTGCACACAACGGGAATGTTTCCTGCCCTTAAAACTGCCAATTTAGTGAGTGGGGTAGCAAAGGGAAATGCTGTTGGACCATCCTGTAATTTGCAGAGGCTGATCATCATCCCCTAAGGGCTGAGTACTGGTATAGAATCAAATATCTGGAGAAAAAACTTATTTCTAGATGGATTCCCTTAGCCCCTGTCCTCGTATGAGAGGATGTTTGGGGGAAGAGGCCTCCAATATTACAAGTATAAAATCAGCCAACAGTTGTTGCACGTTTACTGTAGTATGTTACCTACATTTCTTCAGGCCAAGACCTTGACACAGCCATTTTTAGGCCAAAAATTTTGCTGATGTCAGAGAAGCTTCTGATATAAGACAGGCAAGCTATATCTACTCTAGAGGGACATTTATCTGCATTCCCTATTAAAACTGAAGTATAGCAGCACCTGGCTTATTCAGGAGCACGCATAACGGGAGAAATAGCATTGTAATCCCACCTGTATAGAAGCCATGCAGAGACACAGACAGGAGCATGCCTGGATGCTTTGATTAGCCACTGCTGCTCTTCCTAATCAGAGTGTCAATATTCTCTTTTTCTTTTTTTCTTTTTTTCTTTTTTCTTTTTTGCCAGAAGGAGGAACGTGTGAAGTTATAGCAGCACACAGATGCTGTAATAAGAATCGAATTGAGGAAAGATCACAAACAGTAAAATGCTCCTGTCTACCTGGGAAAGTGGCTGGGACTACAAGAAACAGACCTTCCTGTGTTGATGGCAAGTAGCTCCTCCTGTATATATGTCTCTGTTTGTGTACCATCCAGTAAATAGCTTTAAGTCTATAGATTATGCATAGGAACTTTGTTGTGGTCTCTATTTAACAAAACAGAAAAATCTATAAGCATAAGCGTACATTTACACCACCTTGCCTGCTACTTTAGTGCATGGTTCTGTGCACATGGGTCACGTTAAGATTTACTCACAAAAATGAGAGTATAGTATTCAGTACAGGCACTTAGATAAGTGTAACAGATTCTGTGGCAGGATCAAGCCCTTAATAAATAACTGGACAAAATTATCCCTTGCGTCACTTCACAGGGCCGCCCTGGTGCCACATTAGTTTTAATTCATGAATAGTTCAAAGGACATCAGCCATTCATTTTGATTTAATTAGCCATTTGAAAAGTCAGTGGCAAAAAAGATAAATAAATGAAACCTGTGGTCTTGTCCTGTAACAAACATTACAGAAAGCTAGGAAAAAAATCTTTGTCTTTTGAAGTCACTGGTGCTGTTTCTTGTCATGGGGATTTTTTTGCTGAAGGGAAAATACCATGTTATTTGTGTCTGGGTTTCATATCAGGTCTAGCTCCACAGGCTGTATTCCTCTCAGGGGCTCCCCTGCCACCGCTGCAAGGTGAAACCATGCAGCAATCAGGGAGAGAGCCGCGGCTTGGAAGTGCTTAGCAAAATATAAATTGCATAAGAAGATGGGGAGTAAGTGATACTAATCCCATTAGTCACCCTTCCCAAACAGGCTGCTCCGTGTTGCAGAATCCCTCTGTGCAGCAGCTTTGTGAAACAGAATATCTCATAAAAGTTCCCTGCTACTCTTTATAGTAAACGTCTGGTGCCAGTGTATATACCACCCCCCAGCCCAAAGGTGCTTCAAAAAGCCAGGGGTCGTTTTGGCTAGAGTTGAGGTGGGCACTGCCCAGGGCTCTCCTCATCCTTCACGTGGCTGGATGTCTAGGGGTGGCGGCGCAGCTGCAGGTTTTGGAAACACCCAACATTTCCTCTTTGGGTCTGTTGTTCTTCCCCCCGCATGAGTGAGAAGGGGGAGCTGTACAAGGAAACATCGGGGCAAATGGTTTCCTCTGGGTACCTTTCCTCAATCACATGCTGCAAAGGCACTAGCAAGTGAGCAGGGGCTGTTCCAGCTGTAGCCCAAAGACAGGAGTATTGGTGGACATAGTGGGCCGTGTAGACAAAGCTCTGAGGCTTGCACATTCAACACTGAAAAGATGAGAGATTGGGGGTGCCTTGGAGGGATGAGAACCTCGCGTTTTCTCAGTAAGTATTTGTGGTGTGTACATATCTGGTTTATATATTAAAGATAGAAAGAAAATGTTTTATTATTTCAAAAACGCTTTCAAATTTTTAAATTGAAGCAGTAATTCATAGGTTGTCACACTGGGAATGCGATTGAGCTTCTGAACTCATGACTAAAAACATGCTATGAACGCACCTGTGAATGATTACACTTCAATCCACATTCTGTCATTCTGTTATTGCTTAATTACCCTGATAAAAAGAAGCTTTTCTTTTTCTGTTAAGCACACTCATAAAACCGTAGGTGAAACCTACAGCTGGTCTTAACCAAAGATCAGCTGTACAAGCCTTGAAGAATTTCATGTTCTTGAGCAGGTCATGAAAAACAGAGGCACCGAGTAGAGTTGAGAGACACCATTAAATCAGATCTCATAATTCTGTTCAGAGAAGAGGAGCTCAAAGAATGCTGTGTTAAGAAAAAAAGGTCGGGTGCAGGTGTGGACTGGAGCCTAATTGCTCTGTCAGGATTACAATAAAAAGAAATGTTATTGTCTGGAATTTTGAAAGGAGTAAGGATAAAACAATGGCTAATAGAAAAGTGCAAAGCTAGTCCCATTGAACTCACTGGTAAGACTCACAGTGACTTCAAAGCCAGCAAACGTGAACTACAAAGGAACGTTCTCCCCTTTCAAGTTTAGTCATTGTAGTCAGCCCATAGCTTCTTTTGTAGATGGCTGGTGAACGGTTCAAAAGCCCAATATGCTGCTCGTAAAAATTAATAGAAGGGGCATTTTCTTTGGCCTTTGTTTTATCCCAGACTTTCCTTTGTGACTTTTGACATACTGACCTGTTTTAAGTCAAAACTTTGACCTATTCAGTGGTTCTGTTCTCGCTAAGGCAAACTCCCAAAACTTCCTATGGGAGTCCCATTGACGTCAATACTTTAACTCACACAAAGATTTGGGATTTGCTGTTTCTTTTGTACATGAGAACATTTCAAAAGGTCATCTGCAACTTTTTACCTTCTTTACCTACTATATTGAAAGGATTAAGACCATGTAATCTCACACTGGGTTTTACACTGTATACAATTTCAAGCCATAATCTGTCACTAAGAAAGCTTGTTTAGGTCCATTAATTAAAAATCCATGGGTGTTCAGGTACAGCAGTATACTCACACCCAGACAGGCTGATCACCTTTGAGAGGTGACAAGTAGTGGGAGATCTCATGTTAGCAGTTTGACTCCCATCTGTAGTTGATTTTTACCTCGACCCATCTCCACCTGATAGCTGTTTAGTAGTGTGTATAAAACAAGCTGAACTTGTCTTGCTCTGTTTTTACCATTGGCCAAATTGTGACTTAATAGGATCAGAATCAAGCTTTTGGTGTTTCTCGGTCCAATTTCATCAGAAAACATCTCATCAAGGCTGATGCTTTGACAGTTTGAGTTCATGTTACAGAGGAGAGATTGCATTGCCTTCCACTCCTACCAGCCATTGCTCTGGGACGCAACTGGGCTGCATAGGTAGGACTGTGTGGAGAGCTAGCTTTGTTTTCTGTTTAAGAGAGAGTACGATTATACGTAGGAATAAGCTTTATCTTTTTAATAAGTATCAGGGGTGATAAATGGTCCTTTTGTCCTCTTGTTGTGAGATCTCATTATGGGTAGCACACCATCATAGTACCTAGGACTCACGTATGCAGTCCTCCTCCTGAATGAGCTGAAATTCAGGCTGAGTATGTGTTATTTGTACTATGAAGGGTGGCTGGAAAGCTGCCTGGCGGAAAAGGACCTGGGGGTGTTGGTCACCAGCCGGCTGAACATGAGCCGGCAGTGTGCCCAGGCGGCCAAGAAGGCCAATGGCATCCTGGCCTGTATCAGAAATAGTGTGGCCAGCAGGAGGAGGGAAGTGATCGTGCCCCTGTACTCGGCCCTGGTGAGGCCGCACCTCGAATACTGTGTTCAGTTTTGGGCCCCTCACTACAAGAAGGACGTTGAGGTGCTGGAGCGTGTCCAGAGAAGGGCAACAAGGCTGGTGAGGGGTCTGGAGAACAAGTCTTCTGAGGAGCGGCTGAGGGAACTGGGACTGTTTAGCCTGGAGAAAAGGAGGCTGAGGGGAGACCTCATCGCTCTCTACAACCACCTGAAAGGAGGTTGTAGCGAGGTGGGGGTCGGTCTCTTCTCCCAAGTAACTAGCAATAGGACGAGAGGAAATGGCCTCGAGTTGTGCCAGGGGAGGTTTAGATTGGACGTGAGGAAAAATTTCTTTACTGAAAGAGTGGTTAAACATTGGAACAGGCTGCCCAGGGAAGTGGTGGAGTCCCCATCCCTGGAGGTATTTAAAAGAGGAGTAGATGAGGCACTTAGGGACATGGTTTAGTGGACATGGTGGTGTTGGGTTGACGATTGGACTCGATGATCTTAGAGGTCTTTTCCAACCTCAATGATTCTATGATTCTATGAAGGGTGGGAAGTTGCTGTGTATTCCCAAGCATCACTTCCTGCCAAGTCCAGCAAACTTTTTCTTTGGGGCCTCATCTTAAAAAAGTATAGTGAGGCCAGGCTGTGGCAGCCTCAGAAGTTATAAATTATTCCTTGCCGCTCATTCAGTAGACACTGTCCTAAAACCTGCCTCAACCACCAATGAATTATGTAGTAGCAGCTGTGAGAGCAAAACAAAAGCCAAATCTTGTCATGAAACAGAGATGCCAGTTTCTGTTTCTTTGCCTCTTCTGTTGCACATTTACTTTCATGATTCCCTTCACTACTTTAAGGCCTTTTTTTTCTTTTTTTTTAAGGATGGTTTTGAATGCTCCCTTCCCTCCCTACAATTTATCTTGTGTGTCACTTGGCCGTAGCACATACCGTGAGCATCAGTCTGTTCAGCTCTCTGTCATGGCTGTTACTATTTTCTCCCTTTGCCCAAATACCTCTCCAGAGCAAGTCCCAAATGGATTTACTTCATTTGTGTTACAGCAGCTTGAGAGGATCCCTTTTTTTTAGGGAAAGCAGTGTTGAGCATGTCCAGGGAGTCCCCAGCCCTCTGCCTCCAGAGCACAGGGGACCTGTGCAGCTTAGAGTGTTACTAACCTACTCCGCAGCAACGCTGTTGGACACAGCGTGTGCATCGGCTGTCTGAAGGTACCAGAGCAAGCTCCTGATCTACCATCCTGCCCACGCACTTCAGAGACGGCCAGGGCCGGTACAGGGCTTGAGTTTGCAGCTCAGACTAGCATGCAGACCCCTCTAGCTTCACACCTTGATGGACCTGCTCTCTCTCATTTTCCTGTTACTGCAGGCACTTTTTGTGTGATGTGCAGGTTATTTCTGCAAGGGTTTCTTAGCCATGCTTCTGAATTCACACCTTCCCTCTCTGCTATGCTCACAAACAGCTTGTCTTCCTTGTTTTAGAAGCCCATGAATTTTCCTCCTCTTGCAATAGGCTCTGTGGGCTTATGCGTGCACTCAGGTGTCAGCACAAATAGCTGGGATTTGTCCCCTTGCTAGCTGTCGCATGGCTAGTTCAATTTCTCCTGTGGGTTGAGGTTTTGTTCCTTTGTCTTTGTTAACCGATTTCTTCTTTTGATACTGGGTTATCAAAGAGAGATGTTCCCAGTAACGCCCTCTGCTTCTTTATAGCAAGTCCTCTTGTATCTTCTTGGTAGGGTCAGTGGGCACATGACGATTGTCCTTTCCAGTGTCAGGTCCACATCCTTTAGAAAATCT